AAAAACAGACACATAGACCAATGGAACAAAATAGGGAACCCAGAAATAAGCTCATACACCTACAACCATCTGATCTTCAACACAGCTGACAAAAACAAGCAGTGGGGAAAGCACTCCCTATTCAATAAATGGTGCTGGGATATCTGGCTAGCCATAGACAAAAGATTGAAACTGGACCCCTTTCTTATACCATATACAAAAATCAATGCAAGATGGATTAAAGACTTAAATGTAAAACTCAAAACTATAAAAATCCTGGAAGACAACCCAGGCAATGCCATTCTGGACATAGGAATGAGCAAAGATTCATAATAAAGATGCCAAAAGCAATTGCAACAAAAGCAAAAATTGACAGATGGGATCTAATTAAACTTGAGAGCTTCTGCACTGCAAAAGAAACGATCAACAGAGTAAACAGACAACCTACAGAATGGGAGAAAGTATTTGCAAACTATGCATCTGACAAAGGTCTAGTATCCAGCATCTCTAAGCAACTTAAACAAATGCACAAGAAAAAACAACCCCATCAATAGGTGGGCAAAGGATATAAACTGATACTTTTCTTTTTTTTTTTTTTTTTTCAGAGACAGAGTCTCGCTCTGTCGCCCAGGCTGGAGTGCAGTGGCCAGATCTCAGCTCACTGTAAGCTCCGCCTCCCGGGTTCACGCCATTCTCCTGCCTCAGCCTCCCGAGCAGCTGGGACTACAGGCGCCCGCCACATCGCCCGGCTAGTTTTTTGTATTTTTTTTTAGTAGAGACGGGGTTTCACCAGGTTAGCCAGGATGGTCTCGATCTCCTGACCTCGTGATCCGCCCGTCTCGACCTCCCAAAGTGCTGGGATTACAGGCTTGAGCCACCGCCCCCGGCCTTAAACTGATACTTTTCAAAAGAAGACATACATGTGGCCAACATGTATATGAGAAAAGCTCAATATCACTGATCATTAGAGAAATGCAAATCAAAGCCACAATGACATACCATTTCACACCAGTCAGAATGGCTGTTATTAAAAAGTCAGGCCAGGCACAGTAGCTTATTTCTGTAATCCTAGCACTTTGGGAGGCTGAAGTGGGCAGATCGCTTGAGTCCAGGAGTTAGAGACAAGCCTGGGCAATATGGCAGAACCCCACCTCTACAAAAAGTACCAAAATTACCTGGACGTGGTGGCACACACCTATAGTCCCATCTACTAAGGAGGCTGAGGTGGGAGGATCGCTTGAGCCCAGGAGGTCAAAGCTGCAATGAGCTGTGAGCGTGCCTCTGTAGTCCATCCAGGGTGACAGAGTGAGACCCAGGCTCAAATAAAAAGAAGTCAAAAAATAACAGGTGTTGGCAAGGTTGCAGAGAAAAGGGAATGCTTATACACTGTTGGAGGTAGTGTAAATTAGTTCAGCCATTCTGGAAAGCAGTGTGGCAATTCCTCAAAGAGCTAAAAAGAGAACTACCATTGTACCCAACAATCCCATAACAGGGTATATACCCAAAGGAATATAAATCATCTACCATAAAGACAAATACAAGCCAGGTGCAGTGGATACCTGTAATCCTAGCACTTTGGGAGGCCGAGGCAGGTGGATCACTTGAGGTCAGAAGTTCGAGACCAGCCTGGCCAACATGATGAAACCCTGTCTCTGCTAAAAAAAAATACGTAAATTAGCTGGAAATCACTTGAACCTGGGAGGCAGAGGTTACAATGAACCGAGATCACATCACTACACTCTAGCCTGGGCAACAGAGCAGGACTTCATCTAAATATATACACACACACACACACACACACATATATATATATGCATGTGAATGTTCATTGTGGCATTATGCACAATAGTAAAGACACGGAATCAACCTAAATGCCCATCAGTGACAGATTGGATAAATAAAATGTGGTACATATACACCATGGAATACTATGCAGCCATAAAAATGAACAAGATTAGGTCTTCTGGGAACATGGATGGAGCTGAAGGCCATTATCCTTGGCAAACTAACGCAGGAACGGAAAACCAAATACCACATGTTCTCACTCATAAGTGGGAGGTAAATGATGAGAACTCATGGACACAAAGAGGGGAACAACAGACACTGGGGCCTACCTAAGATTGAAGGGTAAGAGGAGGAACAGGATTAGGAAAAATAACTATTTGGTACTAGGGTGACAAAATAATCTGTATGACAAACCCCTGTGACACAAGTTTACCTATATAACAAACCTGCACATATACCCCTGAACATAAAATAAAAAAATTTTTTAATGTGGGACTTATACGCAATGGAGTACTATTCAGCCATAAAAAAGAATGAGATCCTGTTATTTGCAACCACAAGGATGGAACCAAAAGTCATTATGGTAAGTGAAATAAGCCAAGGACAGAAATACAAACATCACATGTTTTCACTTATTTGTGGGATCCAAAACTCAAAACAATTGAACTCATGGACACACAGAGTAGAAAGATGGTTACCACAGGCTGGAAAGGATAGTGGGATAGCAGGTATGTTTATGTGTACAACAAAATAGAAACAATGAATAAAACCTGGCATTTGCTAGCACAACAGGGTGACTATAGTCAATAATAACTTAATTGTAAATTTTAAAATAACAAAGAGTGCAATTGGATTGCTTATAACACAAACAATAAATGCTTGAAGAGACGGATACCCTATTTTCCATGATGTGATTATTTCACATTGCATGCAAGCATCAAAACATTTCATGTACCCCATAAATACATATACTTACTATATACACAGAAAAATTAAAAATATAGATAGCTGTTTGTCTTATTGTATTTACATTCCTTTTAAAAGTCTTATATTTCTGTATATAAAGAATACACAATACAGAGTACAAAATTTAAATGTGCAAGAGTTAGATTGCGCAGAGGACAGAAATATAATGAAAAATATTGTTAGATTTTCTCACACATATTATTTAACTTATCCTACTATTAATTACTACTAATGGCCTTAGTGTTTTGTTTAAATAGCACTTATGTAACAGAAAATAATACATAAAAACATAATTTCAAGTGAACACTTATTGTTAAGTAATGATACATATGCACAATTATTTATAATATGTTATGGGTTTTCTTCATCTACAACATCTAGGTCCTGGGTTGGCTCTCTGCAAGTTGGTCACCCTAAGACTGTAGTACCATTCTAGTGGGAGGAAAAATATACAAACAAGATACTATTTGTAAATTGCACAGAATAGAAACTGATAAACAATGGTGCCTTCTGTGAAAGTGACATCAGTGGCCGGAACAGGTGAGAGAGGCTTTCTTTTACTAGGGTATTTTAAAGTAGTCTTAAATGTTGTACCCTGCAAATATACCACGTATTTTTATTTTATTTTCTTTCTTTTTTTGAGACGGAGTCTCTCTGTCGCCCAGGCTGGAGTGCAGTGGCACCATCTCGGCTCACTGCAACCTCCACCTCCTGGGTTCCAGCTATTCTCCTGCCTCAGCCTCCTGAGTAGCTGAGACTATAGGCTTGTGCCGCCACGCCCGGCTAAATGTTGTATTTTTAGCAGAGACAGGATTTCACCACGTTGGCCAGGCCGATCTTAAACTCCTGACGTTAAGTGATCCGCCCGCCTCGGCCTCCCAAAGCGCTGGCATTACAGGCGTGAGCCACCGTGCCTGGCCTCCACCTATTTTTAAATGTACCTTGCAAATATTCAAAAGCAAGCGACTGTTGTTAGTTCTGCAGAGGGGTTGGCCACAGTAAGAGTGGGGAAAGGCACTAGCTCAGCGTGGGGGCACGTGCTCTCACTCGAAACAATGTATTGAGAACACTTGGTTCTTGGGGGTTCCTGCCCAAACTTCAAGATGGCGGCCAGGCGGACGGCTGATTCTGATGAGTCTGATGAGGTGAGCTGCTCCGCAAAACTGAAGGGCCCACTAAGACTGGGAAATTAGTATGTATTTGTGTATGTGTTTGTGAGGAGAGCCGCTGGAGGGTTTTAAGGAAAACAGTGATTGGATTTATGACCGAAAGGTCCGTCTAGCTGTGTAAGGAATGTCGGGGGACACTATTTGGGGAGCATGTATCTGTAATCTTGGTGAGTAAGGATGTTGGCTTGGACTCGTTAGCATAGTAGCACTGGATGGAGATGTGGAGACATGGATAGAACTTTGGGAGGTCACCTGGACAACACTTGTTGCTAGATTGAATGTGGATTGTGAGGGAAAGCACCAACATGGCTGCCTGCTCCGTTTCTGGCCTGGGTGAGTTCCTGTTCCCGAGATGGAGAATCCTAGGGCGTTGGTTTTTGTGTAGGTTAAGAGTAAGTTATCTGCGACATTTTAAGCCAGAGATAGTTAACTGATGCACTTTTTTTTAAAGTCACTGGGGCTAGATGGTCGGTTCTCACGAGAGTCCTTCGGGCAGTTCTGTGGGGAGGGGCTGGGAAGGGTGTAAACTGGGAGGCAAGGAAGGGTCCTGTGTTGGCCTCAGCGGGGAGACAGTAAGCTGCTCGGGGCCAAGAGTGGCTAGAGGGTCTCTAACGGGCAGAGTGAAGGCTTTAGTTTTTCATCAGTGTGAAATGGGCAGCCACGGTAGGGCTTTGAGTGTGACAAGGGCTAACGAAAATCCTGTGTGGACAGCAAGCTATTGGGTAGGATTGCCAGATTTAGCTAATAAAAATCCGGGACACCCGGTTAAATATGAACATCAGAACAATTATTTCGTAGCATAAGTATGGCCTGTGCAAATCTGGGATATACTTATACTAAAAATGTATTCGTTGGTGATGTGACATTCAAATGTAACGAGTCCAACTGTGTTGGACCAAGCAGCCCTAACATTGACTGGGTCTGGAATTTCGGGAAGCCGAAAGGGGCTAAGGTGGTAGCCATGGAGGTGTGAGGAGGGACCCCCGCAAAGGTGAGGTTGGCCCATTTGGTGCCCTTTGCCGGAGAACAACTCTGGGGAGTCGAGCTTCTCGGCTCCTCTACTTCTTTTAGCCCCCAGCAGGCTCCACTGGGAAGGATTACCTGCTTCTTCCAATCCTGAGTTCCGGCGCCCGAGCGCGTCTCTTCCCCTGGCCAGCGTCTTGCTGAAACTCCCGCCCCCCGCGGCTGGCACGTAACCCCGCCTTCCGCTTCCCTCCTCCCTCTCCCCGCAGGGGTGGAGCCTGAGCGAGGAGCCCGCGAGCTCCTCTCTCTCTCCTCTGTCCTCCGATGACGAGTGGCTGGATAATATGGAGTCGGGCAAGATGGCGCCTCCCAAGAACGCTCCGAGAGATGCCTTGGTAAGTGGGAAGGATGAGCGGCGGAGCGCGAAGCCAGGTGCAGCCAGGGACCTGCGAGGCAGGGCCACGCTGAGGGCCTGAGGGAGGGCTCGCACGCTCGTTTCAGTCTGGTCAGGGTCGTCAGGAGGAGAGGGTGATGGGGATGCCCCCGGGCCCCTATCTCGCCGCTCGGGCCAAGCTCTGCCAGAGGGTCGTGGTCCAGCGGAGCTTGCGGAACGGCTGCCCAGCTTTGTGTCCTGGGCTTCGGGCCCCTGCCGCCCCCTCGTCTCTACCTATCTGCCAGCCCTGACTCTGCGTCCAGGGTTCTGATGCTAGCTTATCCCGCCGCCACAGCCAAAAATGACAACCAGCTGGACCTATCCCTACCTCTGCTGGGGAAGCCAACTTGTCTTCTCTTTGCCCCCCACCCCGCCCCCAACCCCGCCAAAAAATAAAAATAAAAGTTTTCTGCAAAAGCATACTATGCGATTTGGTGTGATCACTGACTCACTTGGGAGGACAAGGGTGAGTAGGACTTTGGAGCCCAAAGAAGGGGAACCTTGTATCATAAATATAAATACTACCCTTCTGTCCAGCCTTGATTTCCAGTACCAAATTCTGCATCTGGCGTTTTTATTTGAATCCACAGGTGATGGCACAGATCCTGAAGGATATGGGAATCACAGAGTATGAACCAAGGGTTATAAATCAAATGTTGGAATTTGCTTTCCGTAAGTTAATGAAACACCAAAAACTTGCCTAACTTGTGAACTAGAAAAGATATTTTTATTGTAAGAACATTTTCTTTTCTTTTCTTTTTTGAGACAGGGACTCACTGTTGCCCAGGCTGGAGGGCAGTGGCGGGATCTCGGCTCACTGCAGCCTCCGCCTCCTGGGTTCAAGCGATTCTCATGCCTCAACCTCCTGAGCTGGGACTACAGGCACTTGCCACCATGCCCGGCTAAGTTTTGTATTTTCAGTAGAAAGGGAGTTTCGCCATATTGCCCAGGCAGGCCTCGAACTACTGACTCAAGTGATCCGCCCATCTCGGCCTCCCAAAGTGCTGGGATTACAGGCGTAAGCCACCGCGCCCAGCCTTGTAAGAACATTTTCAACCAAATTATGTTAACAGTATCGTAGAATTCAGCCTAAAGAGCTAAAAAGGAGTTCATGCTAGGGGACAGTAGTATTCATACTGTGATATCTGTTTAAAACTGATCATATAGACAGGACAATTACCTATTAAAATCAGCATTTAGGCTGGACACAGTAGCTTACACCTGTAATCTCAGCACTTCGGGAGGCTGAGGCGGGAGGCCAGGAGTTTGAGTTATGCCTGGGCAACATAGTGAGACCCTGTCTCTACAAAAAACCACAAAATTTATAAACTGTCTACAAATTAGTGGAAACTTTTTTTAAGTAGCCATAAATATTAAGCTGTCTTCATATGTTTAAGAAAAGATTGTTTTTTTCTTAAAGGTTATGTGACTACAATTCTGGATGATGCAAAAATTTATTCGAGCCATGCTAAGAAACCTAACGTTGATGCAGATGATGTGAGACTGGCAATCCAGTGTCGTGCTGACCAATCTTTTACCTCTCCTCCCCCAAGAGATGTGAGCAAACTTGGATTTGAAGTTATTTTTACTTAAAATTTTTTAAACTGTAGTTCTAATAAGGATTTTTTTTTTAAGTTTTTACTGGATATCGCAAGGCAGAAAAATCAAACCCCTTTGCCACTGATTAAGCCATATGCAGGACCTAGACTGCCACCTGATAGATACTGCTTAACAGCTCCAAACTATAGGCTGAAGTCCTTAATTAAAAAGGTAAGAAATTTTAGTCAACTTTTCTTTTTTTAAAAGGTGGAATATGATAGGGGACTTTGTGAAAAGCAAATTCCTGTAGCTAGTATAGTAGATTAAAGGTTAAGATAACTTACTAGAATTTTTTTTAATTTTAAAAATTTTTTGAGCTAGATGGACCTTTAGTGCTCATTTAATTCAACAGTCATTTTTCACATCAGGAAGCGGGGCCTGAACTCATTTGTGAAGTTGGTAGCCAAGCTAGGACTGATTCCAAACCTCGTAACTCCCAATCTTTCCACTATATCTTAGTTTTTTAGTGAGGCCTAATAACAGAGGGAATGATACCATCAGGAATTGGGCCAGCTTTCTGAAATATGACCTAAAGCTCTCCCACCACTGAAACAGTTCTCCCTATAATAGGCTGCCTTTTTTTTCTGAAGTTCCACTATAAGAGTTTTATTCTTTTTTGGGTTAAGAAATTGACTAGTTAAGATTACAAATCACAAAGTAGTTAGCTGTTATCCCCATTCAAATAAGACTCTATCTTAAACTTTAATACTGCATAAGATTATATATGTATTCATATCTATTTTTATATAAAGACATGTATATATGTTTATGCAAACCCCAGATTAAATGTTGGATTTAGAACACTGAGAGAACAAAAACAGGACTTTCTTGCCATGGATTATCCATGATCATTTACATCAGCAATCCTAATTTCATTCCTGGTAAAGTTAGGTGTCACATCTTAACATTAATTTGCTTTTTAAATCCCCTAGGGACCTAACCAAGGGAGACTAGTTCCACGATTAAGTGTTGGTGCTGTTAGTAGCAAACCTACTACTCCTACTATAGGTAAGTGAGAGGAGACAATGGCATTTCTGGCTGGTAAAGCAGTGCCTCAGCACTTGGTTTTGAACTATAATGCAAGTCAAAAAGTGAATCAGAAATTCTTGTGTATGTGTTACTATTAATAATTTTACTCATCCTCTAATAAAACTATAAACGTACATGTTACTGGCTTTCAAAATGAGAAAGCCACAAGGAACGTCTGATCTCAAATGAGTATAAAATTGGACATTGCCCCCACTGTTGGTGGTATAAACTCTGATACCAAAAACAGGAGTTTACTCTTAGCTGTGTACTTTGTGCCTTCTATAAGGTGCCACACACACTTATGGCAGTAGACTGCTTATTAGAAATTTAAATTTCCAAATAGATAAGAGAATACAGTAGAAGATTAAGATGTACAAAAATCTTAAGGATCTCAAAGAAAAAAACTGTTTTTAATACTAACCACCACGCCAGGCCTAAAGATGCAAGTTTTAAACTTTAAAAAAAATTAAAATGAGTTGGCCAGGTGCGGTGGCTCATGCCTGTAAACCCAGCACTTTGGGAGGCCGAGGCGGGCCTATCACTTGAGGTCAGGAGTTCAAGACCAGCCCGGCCAACATGGTGAAACCCCGTCTCTACTAAAAATACAAAAATTAGCCGGGCATGGTGAGGGGTGCCTGTAATCCCAGCTACTCGGGAGGCTGAGGAACGAGAATCACTTGAACCCAAGAGGCAGAGGTTACAGTGAGCGGAGGTCATGCCACTGCACTCCAGCTTGGGCGACAGAGTAAGACTCTGTCTCAAAAAAAAAAAAATTAAAATGATCTATATAGACCTTAAGACCTGAGTATTTACTCTGTTCAATTTGGGGAGGCTCCATCTACAGTCTAATGTGTTCAGTTTTAAAGCCTGAACTCCATACCTGCTTAAATGTATTAACAATCCTAAGGCCAAGAAAACATTCACCTACTGTGAATTTTCTTTTTTCTTTATAAAATAAAATACTTACATTGCTTCATTACGCTTCACCAAATTCTTTGGACTGATCCTTAATACATGGGAAAACTTACTTAGGGATGGAGATATTTTAGAGGAAGGTCTCACCTTCTGTGTTTGGGAGAGAAAGCAGTAAAACCCAGATTTCTCGGTACCTTTGAGCTTTCTTCCCTTAGACTTTCTGCACCTTTTTCTCTAGAAATGATAATTGTAGTGTCCTCAGCAACTCTCTCTCTGGGTAGGCTGCTGGTTCCAGGGGGAAGGGATGTATTGGATAGCCTGCATCCCCAAATGAAAAATTGGAAATGGATACATTTCCATAAATGTATTTTTTGAGAGAGCAATGATGTCAGTATATATATTAAGTCTTCGAGTCTTGCAAAATACATTTATTAAGCAAACATTTGTTGAGTAGCTATTAGGAGCAAGGTAAAAGAGCCGTGTGCTCACAAGGATGAAAAATGTTAACCAAGCTTGTAATCTAGTCAGTGAGATAAGATAATAATAATGACTCCTATGACATTAAGGGAACTTCAGAGGCAGAATATAAGACATTTAACTGAGAAAATTAAGGAAAGTTTTATAAAACGGGGTAGTATTTGAGTTGTACCTTGGAATAATGGGTAGAATTTAGATGATTGGGGGTTTAGACTAGGTTATCTCCAAGATATTTTTCTGCTTAAGTATCCGAACACAGAAAGGGAATAAATTTTCTGGGCCCACCTGGAGACCTCAAGGGGTATATTTGATCTCTGCTTTAGTTTCATGGGCATAGATGACATCTTCTGATTCTCAGCAAGCGACCAAGATGAAAAGTGCCAACTAAGGTAATAAATAGAAAACCTGGGTCTTTATTCTGGTAGGTTAAACTCTCATCTTTATGTCTTCATCCAGCTAAACCTCAGTGCTTACTATGTAACAGATGCTGTTTGAAGAGTTTTACAGGGATTAGTTTTACTTAATTTTCACAAGAATTATATGAAATAGGTGATATTATCCCCCATTTTACAGAGGAGAAAACTGAGGCACAAAAACTTAAATAACTTGCCCAGGGACACTCAGCTAGTAGGTGAGAGCCTGAATTCAAACTCAAGCAGGTAGGCTACAGAGCCAACATTCTTTACCACTATTCTAAACTGAATTTTGTAACATCTAAGCAAGCTTGTAAATTTTTTAAGGTTCTTTTGCTCTTATTTTTAATGACTTTTTCCTTACCTTTTATTAGTTTCCTTTGCTTTGAAGATAGTTTGCGGTAAGCTGAGTGTAGAATATAAATGTGTATAAATCACCTAACAAACATGGTCTGTTTATTGTAACTACAGCAACCCCACAAACAGTGTCTGTCCCAAATAAAGTTGCAACTCCAATGTCAGTGACAAGCCAAAGATTTACGGTGCAG